GATATTTTATAAAAAATTGTCTTCCTTGTACTCTCAAGTAGTTTTCCGAGCAATAATTTTCAAATACGAAGAGAGAAATGATAAAAATCCAATCGGTCATTTCGGCATAATGACCACTTTCGGCAAAATGATTGCCGATCTGTTTCGGCGGTTTGGCCAAGAATCCGACGACTTGCCAATTCGGCGACTTGTCCATTCAACGAAGTGGAAAATATTGAAATTAAAAAATATTATTTTTGCACAAATTGACTTCGTATTTCAATGTGTTAATTTATAAGTATACTTCATAAGTTAACGCGATCTATATTATGGAAAACTAAAAGTAGCACGACTCTGAAAATTCTTTGAGATGGAAGTGACGTAATCTTTCTTATTTTCAATAGGACACCCTGCAATTTACAACATTTTTGAATACCTTTCATGATTCTGATACAATTGCATGTATCATCCTATATACAAGGTGTAATTCAATTGATGGCTAGTAATATAGGATATGGTTCCTTAGCTAATTCTGAGAAGAACATCAGTTCATATGAACATATGCCTTGAACCTCTTAAATTTTGAGCTAGAGGGTGTTAAAATTTCAAGAAAATATGCGTTTTCCTATCAAACCTTTGACATGTACCTACTAAGCAGTAATAGGCATTTATTAATGCAGGAGATTTTTCAATATTCCTACCAGTGGTGTCCGTATGTGATGAATATTGAAGATTTTTCTAAATAAATACTGTACGCCCTCGCTTTTTCCAAAGATAAAAATGATTGTTGGAATCCCTATATATACATTTCGCAACAATTTGACTTCATGAATTTCTTTCCTTCGACGCACCGTTATCGCATGAAAAAACTAAAAACCATTTTCATACATTCGTGGTATAACGAAAACTTGTACGCTGGTGTCCTATTTCATATTTAAAATTCGATCGATTACGTTGCAGTCTTATTTCGACAAGAACATATTCATAATAATGAAAAAATAAAATTTCAACACCCTATATCTCGAAAAATATGATCATGTAGGAGCTCAGGAACCATATCCTATCCTATCAATTAAATTACACCCTGTATAAAATGATTTTTGAGTTATTCGAGTTTTTCTAGAAAAAGTAACGAATGACGAAGGCATTCATCAAACATAAGGACGCCATTTTTATGTGAATTGCAATTTTTAGTGAAATGCATTGATCAAATGTTGAATATCGAAGGTTAACAGATCACTGACTATAATCACAACCGGTGAATAATTTACAGGGTGCGCAGAAAAGTGCACTGAGAGAAGTTTCTATTAGCAGTTATAAGAAATTGCATAGCCATAGATTGATTCTGCTAAAAGAACTCTATTAGATACTAATAGAATTTTGCATTGTTCAACACCTGCCTGGCACATGTAGAGATGTGGATGAAAGTAGGTAATAGGTCGTACTGACTCGTATCAAATAGGTTGACTGATTTACACTACTCTGATACTTTGTTACTACTAATAGCTGCTGAAAATTTATAAGTATCATTCTAGATAGCTTAGTTCATTGACATGAATAGATTTTCTAACAGATTTAGTAGGGTCGTGTGTATTGTGTGTCAGTCTGTACTTGAAGAAAACCTTTGTTCAAATCAGTTGAAATTTTACCTATTCATTGAAGAATCCATATAGGAGACTGAATTCAGAATTATAATCAACAATCATGATTAACAGAAAATATCTGTATATATATATACAGTGTGTGCGATTTCAACCCGCAACGCACTCTCCCATCAATTCGGAACCCGTCGACTGATTTTCAGAAACAAAAATTTTATAATATAGTACCAAACGAGATATATTCGAAAATGTTGACAAATCTGAAATATTCAGATTTTCGAGGCCTACTTTTGATTGTTGAATCGGTCAAATTTCAAAAACGACTATTAGGCAATTCTTTGTCGAAACAGTGACTAGCCCACACTGAGGAAAAAATATGTACGTATGCGCTTTAAATATGGGTCCTCCTGACTTAAATAATGGTTAAACGGGGATAATATGCAACAAATACGTTTCACCATGCTTGGTAATGTATGCGCATAATGCTGTTCTTGCAGTACAGGAATGTAAATATTTCTGACGTCAAAACTAATGACGTCATATACAGCAGTGTATCACAGGTTGCACATTCTGGATTACATCACCAGTTATGAAGTATTCAACTGGCTGCTGACAAAGAAATCACAGACAGACATTTCATCACTCTCTGAATGCTCTCTGTATAATACAATCTGCTTTTATGTGCCGCACTGGAGTACGTACTATATTTACCTCATTATTACAGGATGAAATGCCATTACAAGGCAGTATGTTCAGTGCTGTTGCAAAGAAGTATATTCCTGCCCTTATTATATATGTAATTTACATTCTGTCTGCTTTTAGGACCTAGCCTGCTATTATGAACTTCTTAAACGTGTATTTCATGATTCTGTGAAAAAGACTTCAGAATTCCTGTCATGTTATTTCAAACTGTTTCTAGATCTGACGGATACGTCCTTCCTTACCTACATACTGGTAGGCAGTACAGTTCCTTCAATGCTATAATATACATTATTTCCTGGTATAATGACGATTTGTACAGAGTGTTTCCTAAGTCTTCGAAGATATTTCAGGGGGCGATTCCGTGTGATATTCCATGTAGTATATACAGGGTGATTCATGAGACTCACTTCGCCAAATGGTATATAGGGGAAATATATACGGGTTGATGTATATATATGAAAAATTTTTTTGGTCATCCATAACCAAGATACATGGTATTATGTGAAATTGCCATATATACAAGTTTGTTGGTCGATATTTCAGAAATGATTCATCGTTATTTGCTGAAAGTTGGCTGCGACGTTTCTCTATTGAAACTACGATTACGATGAATCATTTCGGGAATATCAGCCATCAAAGTTATATGGAAATTTCACATAATATGGATGTCCAAAAAAGTTTGTCAATTTCCCCTATATATTCACCATTTGGCTATGTGTCTCCTCGTTGATCACCTTGTAGTTCCTATAAATGTATGTGTGTCTGGAATTACGAATAAATAAATTCTGAGATAAAGAGATTAATGAGAGTCGGATCGAATAAAAAGATGTATCGATTTTTTATTTCTCATCAGAAACAGCAATATAGGTATACTTATTCCGCAACTATAAATCAAAATAGTTAGCCGAGTAGTTAGCAGATGATATCACATTTTCAAACCAAATAAAGCAAAGAGTTCAACATCCACAAGAAATAACGTTATGATTTTTGAAGAACCAACAAAACATGTATTTGTAATCTATTTTCAATAGTCCTGTATTTCAGAAATTAGGTTGTTGTGGACACAGATAATTTATACGAACTATATCTTGACTAAATATCAGAAGAAATCACCCCTGATGAATTTTCTTTATATGTATTCATAAGAATACCGCAAAAACAAAATGCAGATTCTACTTACCAAAGTAACCATAAAGTATATAGATGGATCCTGATTTACGTATTTCACCAACTGAGTCACCTACCATCTGATTTCACTGCATAGTAAGTTAATATGAAACAATCACTGTAATGACATATTCCACAATAGCACATTAAGATTGGAATGATTATCAGGAGAATATTTCGAATGACACATATTACAGGCTGACTGACAAAGAACGCCCCAAGTCATAGCGCTGCTATGTATTATCCGATTTCGAAAAACTAATAAGTAAATGAAATAACTCATCAGATAGGTACTAGGGTGGCACCAACTTTTTTTTTTTTAAATTGCATCATGATTACATTCTTTCATTTTCTTCTGATGGCATCATAATTATATTCTCTCAATTTTCTGATGGAGTTTTTATTCAATACAATGATGTAGAAGAAGTTGAATTTCGCGCAAAATTAGTTGGAAAAATGTATTGTTCCGTTGACAAGACGTGGATCTACTCATTTCATTTTCCAGTTTGGAATTACCTACCTATATAAATACATTTATTTTCAATAAATCAGTTTCTTGACATTATAATGTCTTCTTTTACAAGAGACAGACTCTATACGGTTGATTACTCAATAGGAAATGTAATAAGGAGATCCATTTCTTGTCGGCGGAGCAACAATTTCATTCATCTAATTTCGCCTTGTTGGTATATCATTGTATTCAGGAAAAAAAATGAAAAGAGATATATGTTGCCAATTGTAAAAAGATAGTTGACAGCCACTGTCTTTGTTTAAATTGGGAAAAAAATGCTTGTGCCACCTTGTATTATCTGCATGAGTATTTTCATTCGTTTTTTTGTTTTTCAAAATCGAATATTAGATAATGGTGGTATGGCTTAGGGCATGTTATGTCAGTAAGCCTGTAATGTAGGGTCAGGTAATCTGGAATTAAAAATTTTAGATTTAGACATAGGATGGGCCACTTCACTTTTGGTCGCATATAACATGCAATAGTGTGTCTAATCATAATACAAATTATTCGTTTCTGGAATTTTATTGAGAATTGATTACAAAGAATATAAATGAACAATCAAATCCATTTGATGATCTATTATATATAAATATATTATATTCTAATATTGCAACATAAAAATCAAATATATAGTTTCCTCATACTTCAATCCAAAATAACAGTGGTAACTTAAGATATATGTATAGGTACATAATACAAAATAATATGTCAATCCAATGGCATTCTGACTGTCACATACGACTTCAGGTCATTCATTACTGTTAATGTATTTGGCATACAAGAAAAGAGAGAACTGGACTCCATGAAAACAGTTTCAGTAGTGTTGCATACATTATAGGCATAGTAATGTAAATCAAAGTCGATAGTTTCGAGAAGTTTACATGAAAGAAATACATTGTCGTTATTGTTCACATATAATTCTTTTACTTCCGCAAATAGGGGCTTGAATGTATCAATGCATAGATCGATGGTAACGACTGAGGATATCTCTAATTTGAAACCCTTTATCTTAACCCATCGTACAGAATACAAGTGACTACCTAGTAAATCGAGCTTTTCTTGAGTGAAGTTGGATGGAAGTGCATTAGCTTCAATTTTGATCTTCTTTCCACAAATCATCTTGCTGAAGAATCGATTATTTATGAGAATGTCATTCAATGCTAATTGATTTTTAATCGCAATTGTTTTGCAAATATTCACTCGACTGGAAGAGGATCGAGCCGTTATTTTGGAGGCTCTGTGTTTACCTTCGAAACGCATCGTCCAAATCTGGGTTAGTGGACCAAACTTAAGGAGCATCTCTGGATAATGCACGAGGAAATGAAACTTGGGTTTGAGTGCAGACTGTGTGAGTTTAATATACAATTCATTCAGTCCCGCAACCCAAAATTGCAATTGTTGTGAAGATTCATTACTAACTCTAGGGTTCACCAGTCTATCCAAAATCCTCCTCAAATATATATACAAATCCCATACTTCACAGTCATTAGGAACATAGTAACCTACTAAAATACCAAAATATCTGACTAAAGTCATCATCTCGGCAGCTGACGTTTTCAATTTCAAAGTGCTACCATCAACAATAAGACAATTCGTGGGCTTAGAACCTGAGTCTGGGCCATAATTGAAACTAGCTATTTTGCTCTGCATGATGTTCAACGGCACGAGCTTAGATTCTTGCACGAGAAATTGTACAACATAAGACATAACATATCGACAAGCACCTTCTAAAAAATCATGGAGGAGATCAACGGAGACATGTTCAAAAAGTTGAAAACCATCTAATGAATTGAGAAAAACACACCGTTCCTTGATGCCAGTTTCTGAATAGTTTCCTAAAAATACATCCCTTCCGTAGCTTTCTGGTGATCTTAATAAAACTTTGTCCTCGTATAACATATATTTAGTTTCTTCTCTATGTGCTGAACATATCCGGCAGAAATGATTCGCTACAAAACTCTCTACAAAACCAAGAATTCCATTTAAACCAAGGTTGTCTCCTGTGATACAAGCAACGTGAAACTTGATGGTACCCGTATAGGCATCTGTTGTAACATTTATGCCATTGTTGCGCAAATTATTCAACACTTCAATAACTTTTTGAAACACCATATTGTTTCCAAAATCGACTCTGTCTGATGCATGAAAGAGTGCAATAATGAAAATATTATCGAGCTGAGAAACATAATGACCTGGGAGAAATGGAAGCGATAAATATACTCCACCCAATTTATGTACTGTCGCATGACTACCCAGAGGGTTCCCGACTTCAAAATCGTCATAAAATAATATCAAAGGCAGATTCAAGTGATCTCCATCTCCTTCCTTGGCCATGATGTCTCGCCATACTCTGCCCTGCATGATATTTTCAATATCGCCAGTTGAATGCTTGAGGTAATCTAAGTGTTCTAAAATATCCTTCAAGATACCAGGCATCGAAAAAAAGTTTTGGAATACTTCTGCGATCGGTATAACCTGCATTGTGCAAGGTGCAGGTACTAGATTGAACCCTAACAATGTGCGTCTAGGTTCCATGCGCTGCCCTACAGTCACCTCAAGAGGAGGAATATATGTTCCCATTTTTTCGAATAGTTGAAAACGCTTGTATTCGGTTAACAAATGGGAGCCACTTTTGGCATAATCAGTAAGAACTCTTTCAAAGGTCAACTTAATATCGTTTGGCAAATCGATACCCTGAACATCAAGAGACTGGTACACACTATTGAGAATTTGATTCTTAGACTTCGCCATTAACTCAGATAGCTCAACAGATACATGTTGCACTAATCTACGAGAAACACCTGGTTGACTATAAAGAGAGGACAAAAATGCTGCTATATGTGATTCGAGTACATTTTTAGGTAAACTTGTGGGTACCTCTTCCTGAACGGCATAAGTAGAAGCTTCGCATGATGAGGATGGCAAATGTTCCACATGACTTCCCACTATAGAAGAAACTGGTCTGACTTTATGACATTTGTCTAAGTGTTTGCGTAAGGAAGAGAAAGTTGAAAAATGCCTTGAACAAGAATCTTGACCACAATGTAATTCTCTAGTACCAGCCAAAGATGCACACTGCGATCTCATATGTTTCACTAATCTATAGGACAACTGAAATAATCGGTGACAGCCATAGCATTTAAACATTATTCAAAAGGTTGTCCCAAGTCTGTCAACAAATGTTTGATGGATTGAGACAGCCTATCGTACTTTGTTCTTATCTTATAGAAAGCGACTTGGATCAAAAGCCACAAGTCGGTTGCCTCTTCTGGATAACAAGCTCCAGTTGCATGAAAAATTTTGAAAGCCCCGTCAACCGCCCCTATTGCGGAAGTAAAATTATAAATTGTGTCATCTACTATGACATGAAATCTGTTTGCCTCTTCCAAGGTTTGACCAACAATGACAATCAAAGGTTGAAAAGATCGGCCTAACCCTTTATATTTATTTTTTCGAGCCTCCAAAGTCCGCAGTATGTCTGCCTCAGTCGGAACTTGGGTTATAAAAGCATCCCTTACCTCGGATCGTGAGGGTTTCCAAGTTTGTTTCCCCTGCTTCTTGATTGCAGGTGGTACACTCAAAAAATAAGGCAGCAGGAGAAGTATCGCTATGCCACTATTGTTCTTCCCAGGTTCTAAAAAATTGAAAATCATTAAGATTATTATTTGTGAAGTTCTGCCCGATATCATTTGGGTGGCAGAATTCTTTCACGGAATAGTCAAGTTTTCAAACGCAGTGACATTTTGGGACAAATCATCTGTTTAATAATAATTACACTAATATCTTCATTTATGAAAACGATGAAAAAATATCTCAGAAAATTTAGAAGAATGATTGTTGAATCAACAGAATCTATTTCACGTCATCTAAGAATTTTGTTGAATAAAATAAAGTTCTGTTCTGTTTTGAATAAGTCTATGACTCATTTGGAATTAATATACAGGGTGCATCTGAATTACACCAAGAAAAATTGAAGGATCCCAGGTAGCACATCATATTGGCTGGAACCCGATTTCATATTGGGCCGATATAGATATATCGTACATGTGAAAAATAATATAGGTCCAATATGAGAGTATATTGGACAAACAATATTGGAATGATAATATTGGTGGAATATTGGTTCAACCTGAGCTGAATATGGATTGTCAGCTACAATATTGGAGCAATATTGGTTGTAAAATTCGTTAACAATGTGTTGAAAAACATATCTATGAATGTTATATAATATTGTTTTACGAATGTCGATACAACAACATCGTATACATATTGTTCCCGACATTTACAACCAATATTGCAATTTGAACATTCTTCCCATGTCGATTCTGAAGCGGTTATGCAATATTGTATTTTCAAGTTAAACGGCATATCGGTTGGATATTGTTTTAACAATATTTGAAACATTATATTCACCCATCTTGATTGATATCATTTTATCTATATCATGCAGAAGATATCGTATACAATTTGCTTCTTACATTTATAACCAATATCGCGATTTGAATATTGTCCCCATGTTGATTTTGAAGCGGTTGTGCAATATTGTATATTTGAGTTCGACGGCATTTTGGTTGAATATTGTTTCAACAATATTCGAAATATCATATTCACCTATCTTGATTAATATCATTCTATCCATATCATGCGGAAGATATCGTATACATATTGTTTCCAACAATTATAACCAATATAGCAATTTGAACATTCTCCACATATCGATTCTGAAGGGGTGTTCAATGATTCAAATATGAATATCAATAACGGCAATTCAATATGTATCTCATATCGGACATAGAAGAGAAAAACAATATTGTATTTTCGAGTTCAATTGCATATCGGGTGAATAGTTTTCTAGCCATATTCAGAAAATAATATCATCTTATATTGGCTGATATGTGATTCACTATATCATGTAAGCAATATTGTTCACATATTGTTTTGAAAATACATATCGATATCGGAATTTCGATATTTATTCCATATTACGCACTCCTAAACCGATGTCGATAGATGGCGCTATAAATGATTGGTAACGTACTCTCATTGCCGATCCGACGAGAGAATTTAAATATTGGCTCTAGACGATTGTGAAGTATTATAACCTGGAGTAGGGGTTAACCGTGATCAACAAGGCGGCTTCCCTAGGGCAAGGCCCTCCCATTGCACTCCGGCTGGGCTGACCTTTGTGATTATTCCTGATGCGAATAACTCGCAAATATTGGTATGAAAATATTCCACCAATATTTTGAAGACAACATAGCTACATAATGATTTTCAATAATGTACCAATATTCCCAACCAATATTGCACCAATATAACTTCACGAATATACCAGCAATATTGGTATGAGAATATTCAACCAATATTTCTGAGACAACATACCTTCATGATGATTTCCAATGATTCACCGATATTTCCATATATTACACCAATATTTCCGAATGTTCACCATCAATTTCTCGCCAATATTGATATTACATTTTGTGTCCGATATTACTCTACGAATATTCAACCAATATTAATATGACAATATTCTACCCACATTTGGAAACTGATATTGTATCAATATCGCCGAATGTTCACATTTTTTTTCTCGCCAATATTACTTTCACAATATTTTGCCGATATTTTCGTAATATTGCACCGATATTGTCCCAATATATGTGTGCTACTTGGGATGATTCTGTGATAAAAATTAAGGTGAGTATTTGGTATACAATTTTTTGAAAAACCTCTCATCGGAAAAGTTACACTCTTCTGAAAATCAAATGAAAATTGTTTATCTTTTTTATTTCCCCTGTATATTAAGCTAAAGACTCGAAACTTGGTAAATATTATTTGTCAACAATGCAATGTTCTCAAACAAGTATGTTCAGGAGGTCTTAACTTTTTTTGGCAAATGCTCAAGTTTTCGAAAAATCTTTTAGAGATAAAAAAGTTAGTGAATCAATTGGGCTTTTTCGCCACGTTTTTTTTTTTAAGAAAAATTGTTATCCGAATGAAGTTGGAAGAAAAAAATCTCAGGGATTGAATATTATAACCCCTTGTAAGCATACCCAGGGTTGAAAACATTTCAAAATGTGTAGTTTTATAAACAAATATTCACCAAGATTCGTGTCTTCAGCTTGATATACAGAAAACTTTTTTTTTTCAAATCTCCGGTGGGGTGTTTCCTTTGCGAGGAGAGGTTTATCAAAAAATGTTATACCAAATACCCACCTTCAATTTCATCACAGAATCACCCCTTAAATTTTCTCGATGTTATTTAGATACACCCTGTATAATTTGATTTCCGTATACATAACATAATAGATTTCAGTATTTCATATCTCATGAAAGATGAATGTATTCCATACTTGATATTCATATATTTTAACTGGGTGTTTCGTATATCGTGAAGTTTTCACCATGCAGTAAAAATTGAATTTCGCCACGGGAATATATAGGTGCAACCTCTTGCGCGCATTTCCGAATAAGATAAAAATAAAAATAACACAAACGAATCATGAATTTCGATCTATGAAGAGGATGATATAGGTACTCTGAAATTAACTCACCCTAAAACCCTATAGGTTTGACAATGCTCTCAAAATCTCCTTCATTCAACAATCTTAATGTTGCCGTATCAATCAAATGCCCTGCATAAAGGAAATAACATTATTAGTTGCATTCTTGTTATGTAAAAATAATAGGTATACCTAAACGCATTTACTACACTAGAAATATCCCAAATCAATTAATTTTTGGTTATTTACTACACTAGAAATATCCCAAAGTATCCCTCACAATTTCTAATAACCCTCCAACCTCATGGAATTTCATTTGTTGAATTCACAGTTAGCTAATTTACGCATTTCCAGAAGACGTGACTCTTGACATATGTCTAAAGGCCGCCTGTAGGCACACAAGTAATTTTTTCTACGGCTATATGACACAAAATAGCTTTTTCTACGGCTATATAAAACAAAATTGCTCTTGTTTTACTATGTTCGATGAATCAATGAGGTAATTTTTGTATGTCATCAATTTCATTTCCGTATCTGACATCACAATGACTCGATCCATTGTGTTATTATTTCAGAAAATCTCATCTCCCATGAAATATTATCAAATTTCAAGCAATGACGAAAACCAGATGACTACAAGCCGAAGAAATAAAAAATTTCGCTGTTATCTGTTACAGCCGTAGAAAGAGTATAGTGTATAACTGTGGTTTAACTCGCACGAAATGCTAATTTCCCACGAGAAAGAAGTTTGCAGCATGAGTCGTAGCGATAACAACTTTTTATGTCATCTGTTCCAACCGTAGAAAAAGTATAGTGTATAACTCGCACGGAATGCTATTTCCCACTCGTTGGATTTGCAGTATTCGCCTATTCGGTGCTCCTAAACAATATAGGTACTATTTGTTGTTTCACGTAGCAGCAGTATAATTTTTGGTATGTAACAAATAATGATGATGGCTGTTTTCAATCAAAGTGAATATTCATTATACTTGGACCGCTATAACAAAGATATTGTAACACGAAAGTGTGTGTGCCTACACCAGTCGGCCATATATAGGCAATAGTAAAAAAATG